TTGGAGTCTAGTGAGCAATGCAGTTTTTCTGTTGACAGCATCCGCCACCTTGTTGTCTTGTTCCGGTTTGTGCTTAATTGTAAAAGAGAACCTTTATAAGAACATGAGCCAGCGTGCATGCATATGGTTTATGGATTGTTGGTTGTTGATATATTGAAAAGCTTTGTTATCACTACATATAACAAAATCTTGATGCAATAAGTATGACTCCCACTGCTTAAGGGCACAGATGGCGGCATAGAGCTCTTGTTCATATGATGACCACTTCTGACGAGTGACGCACAATTTCTCACTGAAAAATGCTATTGGTCTTCCTTCTTGCAATAGGACTGCTTCGATTCCAATAGCAGAAGCATCGGTTTCAACAGTGAATACCTTGTTAAAGTTTGGAAGGGCTAGCACAGGAACGGAGCTTATCACTCTTTTGATTGCCTCAAAGCTTTGTTGTTGATCTTAGCCCCATTGAAATAGTTTAGATTTCAAGCAATCGGTCACTGGTGCCATAAGAATGCTAAATTTTTTTATGAATTTGCGGTAAAAATTTGCTTGCCCGTGAAAACTCCGAACTTCGAAGAATGATTTGGGTGGCGGCCAATCAAGAACAACATTTAACGGTCCATGTGTACACCTTCTGCGGATATGACAAATCTCAGGAAATGGACCATGGAAGTAGTAATCTCACACTTGGGAAGTTTAATGAACAGTTTTTGTTGTCTTAATACCTCAAAAAGAGTTGCTAAATGTTGTATGTGCTGGTGTCAATCATTGCTAAAGACTAAAATGTCATCAAAGTACACAATGCAGAATTTTCCTATGAATGGATACAAAACTTCAGACATCATCCTCATGAAGGTGGAGGAAGCGTTGCATAGCCCAAATGGCATGACTTTACACTTATACAGCCCATGTGGTGTCTTGAATGCTATTTTTCATTCATCTCTAGGCCTTATGCGAATCTGATGATACCTACATCCCAAATCTAGTTTGGAGAAATAGAGGAACTTGAAAGTGTATCAAGCAATTCTTCCATGCGAGGTACCGAAAATTAATATTTTACTGTTATTTTATTGATAGCTCGGCTATCAATGCACATCCTCCAATTGTCATCTTTCTTAGGCACTAACATCGCAGGCACGGCACACGGATTCAAACTAGTCTGAATAAATTGCTTCCTGAGTAAATTGTCAACCAATTCTTGCAATATGAGTTGCTCCTTGGGATTAAGCCTGTAGTGAGGCATGTTTGGCAGGGAAGCACCCAGCATCAAATCTATTTGATGCTGAATGGCTCGGACGGCGGGAGTTCTTCAGGCAGCTCCTTTGATGTGATGTATTTGTATTGCCTTAACAGTCTATCAACCTCAGTGTGTCTCTTCTTCAATATTGAATTCGGATTGGGCTCTGTTACATACAATGTGAATAAGGGGGCAGGTTCTCTCCAGCAATGAAGTAACCCAGGATCGATTACTACATGCATAGCAGCTTGTTTGGGTGATCCAGGAGTCTGTGATTTCAGTTCAGCTGAGCTAGGTAGCAAATAGAGGCGACAACCCTTCCACTCAAAGGAATAAGCATTGGCCCGATAGTCATAAATGGCACCTACATCGAACTGCCACGGTCATCCAAGTATTAGGTGACAAACATCCATATTCAAGACATCACACAAAACCTCGCATACATAGTGTTTGCCTATAGAAAAGGTTACTCGGCATGACTCGGAAACTACGATTTCCATGCATTTCTTGACCAAGCTTATTTTATAAGGGTGTAAATTTTTAGTGGTTTTTAAGTTTAGGGCTTGAACGACGGAGCGGTCAATTATATTTTCAGTACATCCATTATCAATTAAGATGTTACACACCTTGCTGGTGAAAGTGCAGCGAGTTTTGAAAATACCGTGGCATTGAGACCTTATGTTTTGCCGCGAGGCTAATAGTAATTTCTCCATGACACAGATCAATGATTCCCCTTCATCAGCTTGGAGGTCTTCGGTATCACAGTCCTTGTCGATTTCAGCCTCGGCATGCTCACTGCCTTCCTCACATTATGCAATGTATTCTTGTTGTCTTTGCGAACATTCGTTTGATTTATGCTCAGGTTGGAAGCAACAAAAGCACTTCAATGTAGTTAGCTTTGCATAAGGATTTTCCTTGGCCATTGGTTTTTATTTTTGCATATTCCTGGGTTCAACATTAGCATTGCAAGGTGCATTGGGCACAGTCACGGGACTGAGGTTCTTAGATGACTTCGTTGGTGGTGCATTGCTTTTGTTGTTTGAAGCAATAGGCTCTTGCCAATGACGCCTGTTATAAATGACTTTGGACTGCCTGATTTGTTGCATTTCGATCTTCAAGGCGAAATTCACCGCTTGAGCCATCGACCAAACAAATTCAACTCAAGTCGGTCTTGAATGTTATCCTTTAAACCTCCAATATAGCATGCCACCAGTTGATTTGCGGATTCATTGAGGTTATTTCTAGCAATCAAACAGTTGAATTCTTCTGTATAGTCGCTTACAGATCTTGTCCCTTCAACACAATGCTGGTACCTCATGTCTCATGTACAATATTTGTTTAAAATCCGTAGGCAAAAATTGAGCTCTTAACAGTTGTTTCATTCTACCCCAACTTCGAACCTTCCCCATAACTTCTCACTGGCGCATTTGTATAATTTATTTCCCACCAAGCACTCACACCACCCTTCAACCTGCACGCCACATACTTCACTGATTTTTCTGGATCGATTTCCATGTATTCAAAAAAAAAAAAATTCAACAACTTTTTCCCAATCCAAATAATCTTCAATATGCATATGTCCGTCAAAAAAAGGGGTGTCTAACTTAACTTTGAATTCTCCAGATGGTGTTTATAATGTGTCGGCCGTTTGTACCTTCGGTAATGCAGTGGGTATGCGTTGCCTAAATCCTCGTCTTCGCCTGACTCCATGAAGTCCGTTCGCTGGTAAGCTTGTCTGTCGTCCTCGGAATCCGACACATCTAGGGGGTTTGCATGAATGCGATTGAAGTCTTTGTTGTTAGCTAATCCATGATTCGGTAACGGCCTGTTTACGGGCATCTCTTCTCCTCGTAGTTGCTGGTGAGGTTGCCTCGTCCTGTTGAGCTTGAACTCATGACATAGCTCCACCGTCGATCATTGCAAATCTGTAGCCAACTCATCTAGCCGACGATTCACATTGTTTTGTTTTGCCCAAAGCGCCTCAAGGCTTAGAGCTCCTTCGGTCACTGGTTCCATGCCAAGATCCGCCAACTTCTCCTTCTGCTGGCTCTGATATCAACCTGATAGAACCTTTGCAGCAGCAGATGGCACCTTGCAACAATACAGCGAGAGCAACTTGCAAGACAATAGAATTCAAAGGAAAACAGGACACCAAAATACCTGGAGCAAGAAGTTCTATATTTTTCTGTATTCATGATAATCAAAAGTTGTCTAAATTGTTTAATGGAGAATGTGAGAGTTGATTAAGGATGTTTAAATTGTTCTGCTACCATCCGAAGTTAATGTGCTCGGCATCAATATTATTGCTCCTACATAAGGCAAATAGTGCACGTCATTTTGAAATAGTGTGTTGAGCCAAATAATGACGTTGGGGGTGTGCCACACTACTCTATGTGCCATTGCGAGTATCATTTTGAGTTATTGACATGTAGGGATGTAGTACTGATTGAATGCCACAATCCAAACAACTCATCAGATTTCCTTCATGTATCTCAATCCTAATAGTATAAATATTGTAGATGCCATTCATTCAGACTCAAACTAAAATATGTTGAACAAACTTGAGAATTCTTTAATGCTGGAATAACTTCACAATTAACTTTCGGAAATACTGAATACCTCTCACGATGTTGGTAGAAAAATTAAAATCAATAAGAACAAAATCCGAAAGATACTGAAGAGTTGTAGAAGATAGTTGAAAAGATGATAAATTTGACATAGATAGTGATTATTTTTTAAAAGGAACAAGTTAATCTAATGGATAAGTGGTGTATGGAACACACTGAACCTGCAACAAATAAGAAAAGGAAACAGAGAAACAGAGAAACAGATAGGAACGGAGACGGGGAAGAAGAAGGGGTTCCGGAAGAAGGAGTATAATTTTCTACTGTAATGATTCAATACCCCGTCCTCTACAGCCCCTCATACTAGTATAATACTATAGTTTAGTCTAAAACAGTAAAAAGACTAAAATAGTGCCACTAAGCAGCACATGTGTAAAGGCAGTAAGTAATGATTGCAGAAATAACAGAAAAAAAGGTAGTGGAGGCTGTAGTTTGTTAGGCAGCAGAGGAGATAGCTGTGGTAATGGGTCAACCTGGAACCTGTGATTGAACCTGTTCCACATCAATAAGTATATAGGTGCTGACTCTCAGGGGCTGTTTGACTCTAAGGGGCTGTTTGGAAAGGATGCCTTGGAGTAGAACCAACATGACATGATCTAAATGCCGCATGGATTTCCTTATGAATTTCAATCTGTCTGATCGAAGTGAATATTGCTGACGTCAATCGTTCGGACCCCAACTGAAATATGTTGAAGAAACTTGAGGATTCTTTCGCACTAGAATTATTTGGCAATTAACTATTGGGAGTAACGAAGGCCCCTCTTAATGTAAGTAGCAAATTTAGAATCAATAAGAACAAACTCCATAAAGTTATGAAAGAGCTGCAGAAGAATACTGAAAAGATACAGAATTTGACACAGCCAATGATCAATTTTGAAAAGGATCTAGACAAGCTAATTGATAAGCATGCCTGCGTTGAATTTAAAGGATGCCTTGGAGTAGAACCAATATTTGTTATATGAGCTTTATGAGAGCAACACTCAACTATAACAGCAAAGACGACTGGAGAAGTTACTAATGAGAAGAATGTGAAGTTGGAGAAAGAAATTGTTGAGCTCCACCTACAAAATTAGAAGTTTAACAAAAAAAAAGGAAGGAAAAAAAAAAAGGAGGGTTGATGTTACGAAACGAGAAGAACCGACCAAAATGTAGAGCAGAGAAGCGAACAAAACTGTCCTGTAACGTCCAAGATACGAATCTGCGATGAACGCGCCTGCAAGCGGCAGCATCATCGCCACTCCAGACCAAGTATTCACACCGGCTGCCGCCGCCGCCGTCGATTCCTGGAGCGGCCCAGTGAGATAGGTAATAAGGTTGGAAGAAATCCCATAATACGCAAACCTTTCTGCAATCTCCACCCCTGCGACGAGGTCACAAGAATCAGAGAAACCCAAAGGTCGGCTGCGATGAGAGGAAGTTAGGTAAATGGATTGAATATCTCCTACCGATGATGAAGAGAGCAGCGGTCCACTTGCCGGACGAGGATCGGGAGGCGGGGCGGCCGCGGTGGTCGACGACGCCTACCAAGTCGACGGCGGCAGAAGGGGAAGGGGGAGAGGTGAAGGGAAGCAGAGGCGATGAGTCCATCTTGAAAGATAAGCTCCAGCGATCGTTTTAAGGGGGCAAACTGAGCTGAGCTCACTGCTTCAGGCGGCGGTCGACTTGGGCATTGCAGGAAGGGATGGTGTATTGGGTTTTTAGCAGTGGAAAAGCATCAGAGCTAAGTTCCTGATATATTTTCCGAGAAAAAAAAGTTCCTGATATTTCGGAAGCTGCATCACAATTAAGATACCAATAAATCAAGTAGGGTAAAACACTCAAATGTATGAAATATATGAATACAAATTATATGATGCTGACGTGTGAGCCATTTATGCGTGCACATACCAGATTTGAGCATGCCGATTTTAAGAATAATGTTAATGGGAATCTTTAATTTTTTTTTTTTTTTTTTTTTGGTACAATTAGAGCCCAAGCCCATATATATATATATATATCAAAATGAGTTACAGGTAAAGAAAGAAGTTACATGTAAACCTATACCCCCAAAATCAAGAAAGGAAGGAAGAAATGTAACAAAAGGTAACAAAAGTAACAAAATAAATAAAAGGACTCAGAATACAGGACTACACCAGTCAAAACATCAAAATTATCAGTTTGACATAAAGATATCTTGCAGCAAAAGAGAAGCAGGTTGTCACAGCACCAAAAAGCAGGGCCATCACAGCTTCCCAGAATCGAGTGAAGAGATTAAAGCCCAGTTTGCCTTGGTTGCCATAAAGACCATCCAAGGTAAGGGTGGAGTAATCCATAGCTCATCATTGTCCATCAAAATCTTGTAACCAAATGGATCTATCAGCCACCAAGATGTCTCAGCCAAAACTCTGGTAACCAAAGAATACCAGGCAGAATAGAGCAAAAAGAAGCCAACCGTGAGGCAATCCAGCAGCAACCGGTCCAAACAAAAAGCCCATATATGCAGTCATAGCAAGTCCAAGAGTTTGGAAGCATTCTTCCAATTGACAACTTTCTCAAAAACAATTTTTTTTAATGATGGAAACATTAGCTAGACTGCTGGAGTAAGAGTTCCCAAATCTCCTACGATTTCTTTCTTTCCATATATAATAATTGCAGCATCAAGTAATAACAAAATAGAACCTTTTAACTGGTTGGGATAAGCAATTATCCTCATCAATCCATTCAAGAAGTTGAAGAATATTATGTCTTAAAAGAAGATGCTTCGTAGTGGGAATGACCTCCAAAATGATGTCAAAAGAATAAGAACATTCAAAAAATAATGAGAATCTGATTCAAGAAAAAACATGACATAAACTACAAGTTAGTGGGACCAAGATATTCCTTTTATGCAACGCATCCGCGGTTTTCATGCCACCAACTAAGGCCAGCCAAGCAAAGCTGGAGTACCTTAAAGCATATTTCTGGTGCCAAACCAGATTGGACCATGAGCAAGATGGCAAATTTGTATAATACTCATAAATATAATCAGCAAATTTACTATTGATATGATTCCCCCATAATAAGTAATGATTAGAACCATCTAAAATGGTAATACCTTGTATGGCTTCACGAACAGGGTCAGGAATAGAGGTAGGCATAGCCCAATTAGAGCTCAAAATGAAATCCCTTATGAATGAGTTGAGGGGAGTGGCTTGTAGGACATAATGTCCATCAGAGAAATCATTTAACCTTCCATTATAACACCAATGATCCCAGTGGAGGGAGATAGGAGCATTGGCAGTGATTTGAAAGGTAAATTTATACCTAATTGTAGCAGTAGTGGCACATACCAACTTCCAGAATTTAGTAACAATGGACGGGGGAGGGCACTAAGGGGATAAATACCGAGAACTGAGCCAAGAGGAAAGAGGGGAGTTCAGGTTATACATCCTCATGATAACTGAACAATTGAAAGCAAAACGAATACCACTCAGAGAGGGGAAACCCAATCCTCCAAATTGCTTTGGCCTACATACTTTGTCCCAAGAAACCATGTGAATTTTCTTGGAGATCCCAGGATCCCCAAAAAATAGAAATTTTGAGCATACTTTTTTAAGAAGTTTGAAGACTATCTTAGGTAATATGGCTCCCCGTATCCAGTAGACAATAGAATTTAAAATAGTGAATTTTAAAAATTATAGACGGCCAACAAAAGAGAGGAGGTTGGCTTTCCATCCAGAAAGTTTTTTTGTAATATTGTTAGTGAGGGGCAAGAAATCAGCCAACTTTATCCTATTAAAAGATAGAGGAATCCCCAAGTAGATTATCTTAAGACTGGTATTGTGAATAGATAAAGCTTGACAAAGGTCGTACTAGTTAAGCACATTCCTAGGGAACATAACATAGCTTTTATCTAGGTTCACATGTAGCCCAAAAAATTTGGCAAAAGTTGTGAGGATATTAGATAGGGCGTTGTAGTTATCTATAGTAGCTCACAAAAAATGAGCACATCATCAGCATATAAGAGATGAGATAAAGTAAAGCCATCTAAGCAAATCCCTTTGAAGCCACCATCATCAAGCAAAGAGGAGAGTGCATCCATCACCAGACAAAACAAAAAAGGGCTCAGAGGGCAACCTGGCCTTAAGCTAGCAGATGATGAAAAATACCCCTCAAGAGCACCATTAATAACCATAGAAAAGTTGACATCAAAGATGCAAGCTTTAATCCAGCTAACAAAAGGAGGGGGAAATCCCTTCTGTAGCATCCTAGTAATAAAAAAATCTCTGGAAACAGTGTCAAAAGTTTTTCGTATATCTAGCTTAGCACAGAAATACTTGGTGCTACCTCTTTTCTTAGCAAGAGCAAGAACCTCATTAGCAAGAAGGATGTTATCTGTTGAGACCCTTGACTTAACAAAACCAGATTGATTTTGTTTAACAATCAAGGGCATGACAGGCATAAGCCTATTGGATATAATTTTTGCAATAATTTTAAAAAGAGAGTTACAGAGAGCAATAGGTCTGAAATCAGAAATATTTTCAGCATTTTTGTGCTTAGGAATAAGAGCAAGGGCTGTAGCCTTTATACCAGGGGGGAGGTAACCTTTAGAGAAAAAGGATTTGACAGCTGTGCATACTAAAGGACCAACAATATGCCAGCCAGTTTTATAAAAATGCGAGTTAAAACCATCTGGCCCCGAAGCAGAATTAGATTTCCCTTTAAACACAGCCTTATGAATCTCCAAATCAGAAACAGGTTGAGTGATAACCTCTAAATAGAAATCCGGAACAGTGATGCCAACAGGAAAAGACTCGACATCCAGAGAGGTGGGTGGGGGCGGATTGTACAAAGCTTGGTAATGTTGGTTGATTCCTTTAATAATATCTCCCTATCAGAGTTCGGGTTGGAAGCAAAGAGATTAACAGCAGTTCTAGAATTGCTTTGCCGACTCCTAATTTTAGCATATAGAAATTTGAGGTCTTCCTCACCATGCTTGAGCCAGTTTACTTTAGCACGTTGAATGACCCAAGAAGCCAGAATAGTGGAGAATTGAGAGACTTTTTGATTAACTTCTTTGAGAGTGGCATTAAGAGAAGTATCAGTTGGATTACCATGAATCAAATCCAAGATAATCTTTTGTTGCTGCAGAAGCTCATCAAGATAAGAGTTGATTGTTGAAGAACTTGCCTAAGATTCCTGCTTAATATAAAGTTTAACCTGCTTAAGAGAGTGGCATAAAAAGGACAGAGGGTTACCATAAATAGGATTGGAAAAGGCCTTCAGAAGAATGAACCAATACTTATCAAACTTGGTCCAGTAATTTTTAAATAAAAATCTGTGATGAGAATTGAGAACGATTCCATCTTGCAATATGAGAGGATAGTGGTCAGAGCATGAGGGACTTTGGATAGAGTAGAATGATCTGGGGAAGGCATTCATCCAAGCATTGTTGATAAAAGCCATATCAAGCTTGATATGAATAGGGTGGTTAGTTCGCTGATTGAACCAAGTATAGAAAGAGCCCACAGAATTTAGATCACTAAGGCAATTGTCAAAAATCATGTTATTAAATTCCACAAGTGATCCATTATTTAGAGTAGAGCCTCCCAGCTTTTCAGATTCAAACCTACAATAGTTGAAGTCCCCCATAAGAACCCAAGGGGTGTTTGGTGGAGGTGCAGTATGTGAAATGAGGGTCCACAGATCCTTTCTCTCAAAACTGAAATTGGAGGTGTATATAACAGAGAGCTGGAAAAGATTAGTAGAGCCAACATCAATGGAGCCAGAGATGAGTTACGAGGAGATGTGATGAGGAGTGAATTGAACCTTATTAGCATTCCATTTGACCCAAATGCATTCCGAAGAAGTAAGGTCAAAATTATTGCAGTTGTGTTCATTTGAAAAAACCTCATGAGCCTTTTCAAAAAAAAGGATTTTTTAAAGATGGTTGATGAATCCTAGTTTCCAGAATACAGATCATATCCAGCTTGAAAGAACTAATTAGACATTTACAACATAAGACTTTGTCCAAACGGTTGAAACCTCTAACATTCCAAGCTGTAATGCTCGGCAAAGACATCAAGAAAATTGGTGATAAGGGGCCTTTCATGACCCAACCCGACTGGGACGAATCCCATCGCGTTGAGTCGTGATGGATGAATCCAAGATCTAGCTTTGAAATTTATTTTCAGACTTTCTTCCAATAATCAGACATACAGAAAAATTACAGAGCTACTATAAACGTCCAAATATACAGAAAAGCTCATCCAACATTTTCTTCTTTCTTTCATCAAAATAATCATGTACATTAATTTGCATGGCTCTAAATAGAAAGTGCATAACATAATAGAAAAGCCATGACTGTATAAAAAATCAAAAGTACAAAAATACCTAATCTTAGATCAGATACTGAATTGCTAGTTCAAATCCTCCTTCCCTTTCCCAAAACCTGAAAACTATGAGGATAACCACAATGAGCTAACAGCACAGCAAGACTACACTAGCCAATCAAAATCTCCAGAAACTCTCATATCAAAATACTCATAAAAAAACTTTAAAAATAGTTTATTCAAATAGCCGTACAAAATTCAAATAATCATATAGAAATCATATAATTAGACAGAATGCAGATATTCGTACATAACAGATAAACAAACAGACTTTAGATAAGCAGATGAAAATCAAATAACATATACATATCATATATCAAAGCACATATTCAAATCAGATTGCAAGTCATATATCGAATCATGTATCAGCTCACAAATCCCTGACACAAACAGAATCTCAAAGGATTCTGGCCTATTATGCCTCCCTTCCCTGACACAGAT